TGGGGGGTTTATCTCCTTTGCGGTTGGTGGATCTTGCATGGTTTTAGTACGGATGTTTCAATTTAGAATGGGCATCACTGTTGGATTGGGTTTTTTTCTGCTGAAAATTTTGCTGATTAACGGTGGTTGTTGTGACTGAATCTGTTCTTTATGACTAGAAAATTTACATGTTTTGGCGTCCATTTGAGTATTTTGTATAATTAGCATTCTTTTCAATCATTGTATCTTGCTAGTGATGATATGTGAAATAATAATTTTCAGATTGTGTTGTGTATTGTTTTGTAAATATGGATGAGTTTGTTAAGCTGTTACATGTATATGCAGTTTTATTTGGTTCCTTTATAAATATTTTTGCTGTTGCTGGTTAATTTTCAATCAACGGTTATAGTTGGATTGAGTTTAAAAATTTGTGTAATTTATTAATGCGCAGGATATTAAAGAGTTAGAGTTTTTCACTGAGTATGGGGATGCCAACAGATACAAGATTCTTAAAGTTGTTGGGAAGGGTAGCTATGGAGTTGTTTGTTCAGCAATTGATACACACACCGGGGGAAAGGTTGCAATAAAGAAGATTCATGACATTTTTGAACATATCTCTGATGCCATTAGAATCCTCAGAGAAGTCAAGTTGCTTAGACTTTTGAGACACCCTGATATTGTTGATATTAAGCGAATCATGTTGCCGCCTTCAAAGAGGGAGTTTAAAGATATTTATGTAGTCTTTGAGCTCATGGAGTCTGATCTCCATCAGGTCATCAAAGCTAATGACGACTTGACCCGTGAACACCATCAGTTTTTTCTTTATCAGATGCTACGTGCATTGAAGTATATGCATACAGGTCTTTTATCTATAATTGTATTGCCTTGATATGCATTCTTGATACACTGATTTGTTTTCTTAAATAATTGCACCAACTTGCTTCTAAATGATGTTATGTGTGGTCGCAGCTAATGTATATCATAGAGACCTTAAACCCAAGAATATACTGGCAAATGCAAACTGCAAACTGAAAGTTTGTGATTTTGGATTGGCTAGAGTTGCATTTAATGATGCACCAACAACAACTTTTTGGACGGTACCGTGTTTTGTTTTTAAATTTGAATTGCAAGTAGAGCATGTGGAAGTTATGACTGTCTCTGCATATTCAATCAGTAATATTGAGATTTTTCTTTTGGTGCATATTGCAGGATTATGTTGCTACAAGATGGTACAGAGCCCCAGAACTATGTGGTTCCTTCTTTTCAAAGGTATAATTTGGCCAAAATTTATGTATTTAGGTCATCTATCTGCTACAGAGGCATCTATGCTTATTTTTAGCTACAAGCTAGTATTTTGACATTGTTATTAAGACGTGTTTTAGTTAATAATTTTCTGGACATCATCATTGTATGTTGCTGTATCATAATCTTAACTGGCTTTGTGTGATTTCTATTCAAGGTTAATTCCCCTTTTAATTTGCATCTGAAGGGGAAAATCAAATTGCATTTTGTGGTTTGAGAGTAATGTAGATCTTTGGATTTGAGTATCATGTACATGTTGGATGTCTAGCATGGGATATAAATGTTGATTAATTGTTTTGTCGATGATGGGAAATTTGGTAAAGTTTTCCAAGAAAATAATTTTAGGACCTGAGTCCTGACACCGAGGTAGGGATGTAGGAAATTAGAATTGGGCATCTGGGCATTGAAAGGTTTGAAAGTTCGTATGATTTATGTGAGCAATATTACTGTTTATCCTTTTAGTCTCCCAGAAAGGAGAAATTGGAAACATAGTTTGTTTGCCTGACTTGTAAAGGTGTTGCCATTATTTGTTTACAAAATGCTTTGTGTTTTATAGTAAACAGTAAAGCCTAGATTGTAATAATTCTTGTTCAGGGAGGACTATTGATCTCTCCTGGAAGTTGATTTTATCTGTCCTTCAGGTAATTGTGTCAGTTTGTCTGTTTCTCTGAAGTGGTTTGGTTTTGGGATGTGTAATTGCATTTCTTCTTTGATATACTCATTTTCTTGGTATCTTTTTTGCAGTATACACCGGCAATTGATATATGGAGCATTGGATGCATTTTTGCAGAGGTGTTGACAGGAAAGCCACTGTTTCCTGGAAAAAGTGTTGTGCATCAATTAGATTTGATTACCGATCTTCTTGGGACACCATCACCTGAAACTATTGCAGGAGTATGAACTATTCTTTTTTCATTTTTGTTTATCTTTCACTTAATGATATACTTTTGTGCTTGTTAATGCTATTTCTTTCATGAAAAACTATTTAAGAAGTATCTGGAAATTAATTTCATTTGAATTTATGCAGGTTCGGAATGACAAGGCAAGGAAGTACCTGATGGAAATGCGGAAAAAATCCCCTGTGCCATTTGAACAGAAATTTCCAAATGCAGATCCATTGGCACTTCGTCTACTGCAAAGGCTTTTAGCATTTGATCCAAAGGATCGGCCAACTGCTCAAGAGGTATGTTTCTTATGATTTCATATGTTGTGCCCCATTTAAGGAGTATCTAGTGAAGTATATTCAGGTTCTCTGAATTGAAAGTTATCTTCTTTTATTCAATATACATAGGCAGAATGGTTAATTTGGTCCTTAAAAGTGTACAAAGGTTTCAATTTAGTACTGAAATTTTAAAAAATTAAAATAAAGGCCTTAAAACTAACTTTTATCTCTCATTCATTTTTTATTATAGGCAAGTCCTTCTACTTTATCATTAAAATGCAATTTAGTCCATATGTATTATCATTAAAATGTAAACTAGTCTGTGTTTTATTACTACAATACAATTTAATCTATATATGGAAGGATTAAATCGCATTTAAATGATATGTAGGACCTATTTGAAACAACGGATGATGTGAAAGATGGAAGTTATTTTAAAAGACTTTTTATTTATTTATTAATATTTAAGGAGTAACTTGAAAAAATATGCACTTTCAAGGACCAAAAAGATCATTTATAAACATGAGAGAAATCATAATGCATGTTCATTGGCAGGCACTATCTGATCCCTTCTTTAAGGGTTTGGCGAAAGTTGAGAGGGAACCTTCATGTCAGCCAATTTCAAGGTTAGAATTTGAGTTTGAGAGGAGACGGGTGACAAAGGAGGATGTTAGAGAACTAATATATCGGGAAATACTGGAATATCATCCCCAATTGCTGAAAGATTACATGAGTGGAACTGAAGGCACTCACTTCCTTTACCCTAGGTCGAAGCTCTTACCCATTGCTTTTTTTGCTTGTGTTCAACATAACATAATGTATACATTATATGCAATTCTTAATATTTACGGAGATATGTTACTTGCAGTGCAATAGATCAATTCAGAAAGCAATTTGCTTATCTTGAGGAAAATCATGGTAAAAGTGGTCCAGTGATTCCTCCAGAAAGGAAGCATGTTTCCCTTCCAAGGTAATACTAACTTGTACTAACCATGAAATGCTTTGTAATTACTGCATTTAGTTTCTGGATATTATTGCTGTTTCCCTTGTTTAGTTTTTTTTTTTTTTTTTTTTTTTTAAGTATTCTGATGAATGATAAATAATAATTTCCATTAAATGTTGCAGATCCACTGTTCACTGTAGTACAATTTCTCCTAGTACACAGCCATCTTTTGCATCATACGAGAACAAGCAAATGGCGGCAGAGGCATCAAAGATTTCGAGATCAGTAGAATCAAATTCTGGAAGTCAATTAAGGAGTTCACGACCCCCGCCAAGAGTGCCAGCAGGTACAAACTATATAATTAATGTAGTGCTACCATAATTCTTTTAATAAACTTATAAACTATGTAATTAGAGTTAACACGAATAATACTAGCCGAGGAAAGCTCATAAATGGTTATGGCAATTTAATGTGAAGCTGAATTTGAACTACTTACTAATGTTCTTCTTTCCTTGCCACAGCCAAACCAGGTCGAATAGTAGGGCCAGTTTTGCACTATGACAATGGGAGAACCATAAAAGATGCTTATGACCAAAGGATCTTCTACCGAAACACGCTTCCTCAAGCAGTCTCCCCACACTGTTTCCATAGGGTGCAACCAACTAACACAAAATCCACATCAGAAACATACAAGGATATTTCACAAGGCAAACATCAACTCCCGTCCCAGCAGTGTAGCATGCCAGCCAGACCAGCAATTGATCTCAACACTAATCCATACTATCAACAGGGGAAGAGAGACCACTCAAATGATCCTGTTGCTTCTATTGATGCAAAACTGCTGCAGGCACAGTCTCAATTTGGTGCAGTTGGTGCTGCAGCGGTAGCTGTTGCTGCTCATAGGCATTCAGGGAGCTTTCACTATGGATTGTCATAGGTTCTAAGGTTTAAGGGAGATGCATACAGTAAGTAGTATGCTTTTTATGCCTAGGTTTGGGAGAAAGGAAGTTGATCAAAATTTAGACGGGTTTAGGTCTGGTAAGGTTTTCCACTTTTGCTTTCAGATTACCATCCTTGTAATTATATGTACATCATTTAATTGATTAATAAAAAAATTGATTGTTTCTCTCCTTCTCGATGCAAATATAATCTAAGAAAAAAATTGAATTTCTATCCTGATAATGTTTCGTCTATAAATTTTGGCAATGATCTTAAAAAGTTGTTTTGTGCACAATTTTGTGCTGTAAACGAGATAAGATGACAATGGGTACCAGAAATTGTAACAATATCATGAGTTAGCTATAAAGCAGCAGAATTTTGACATGCCTCTAGTGTCATGTAATAGTGCCACCAAGGAATCCTGTTGTAGCATCTGATCTCAAATAGAGTAATATAGGTGGGTATTCGGTACATATTTTGATATTGAGTTGAATTTGGCAAATTTAATATTGACCTAGTTTTTATTTAGAAACTGAATTTGTAAAAGAAATCTTAATCTTGTTTAGTAAACATTTGGTTTCAGACAGATATTAGTGTGTTAATGTGCATTTTGAACCAGCTACTTTTTGTTGTTCATATGAACAACTACTGTTGCAGCATCAACTTTCAAGTCCCATGATCCATAGAAGCTTCCTCCAAGGATCACTCTTGCCTTTTGAAGGCATATTCGTACGCCCTTTTACTAAGCAAGGAAACTTAGGTGAGTGTGTGGATTACTTTGCTTTGAAGCCAATTTTTGTTCACACTGCAGTTAAGGTGTCCATGTTGCCACTTTTGGGCATTATCATCCATAACTCCCATGACCTTGGAGCTTCTAAAACTTCAACTTTTCTGCCCAACTATAACTCCTTCCAAGCCGTAAAATAAGGTATTGAGATGTCATTTGCATTACATGACAAAATGAAAAGACAATTCTTATCTTCATCCTTAAAATTTGACCACAATTTCAACCCATTCCCAAAATTCTCTTTAGCTTCGATTCTCAAATCTTACAAAAATAGTTTTAATGTCGTCATTTCTATTAACGTCAATTTTATTCACAGAAGTGGTGGGAAGTGTGGATCAGCATATCCATTTACAAATGAATCTAGAAATGAGGGTTTTCATTTTCCTAAGTTTTATTGACCTTTGTTTATTCACATTATTAATACATGCAATAATATTCGTAGACTACATTATTTAAAGAGATTTTGCTGGTTAAGGAATCAAATGAAAACGTAAAATAAGGTTAAATTATAAATATCTATAAAAAAGGTTAAATTATAAATGTTGTCTATATTTTTAAATTTAAGTCTTCATATAAAAAAAATTAGTCCTCCATGATTATCTACATGTTAACCACGCTTTTTAGTCTCAAATTTTTTAATTTTAGTTTTAAATTTCAATATTTATTTTTTTGAAATACCTCAAACTTTGTTTATATATAAAAAAAATAGTAGTTTTAGTGATTAATGTGAGGATTCAGTTAAAGTAAATTAATAATAAAAATGATTTAGTGATGTAAAGTTTTATTAATTAAATTAAAAGTGTTATAAATAAAAGGTTAATTATTCAAACTTCATTTACGTAGAAACTAGATCTTTATAATTTTATTTCATATTATTCTCTTTAAATTTTCACTCATTCTCTCATAATTTTTCTTTATAATTTTATTTCACATTATTCTCTTTAAATTTTCACTCATTCTCTCATAATTTTTCCATATTTAAGTGTTTCATAGTGTGCTACTAAGGTAAAGTAAAATAATTCAAATCAATCAAAAGTTTCAATAAAATAATTTTTTATTTACCCATCTTTAGAGTATATACATGTGGATTTGAGTGAGGGTCAAAGTGCGTGTATGTGAATTTTATAGTATAATAGATGAATTTTGACTAATTTAAAAATAGTATAATATGTTCAATTTGGAATGTTATGTGAGTAGGATTTTATTTCCTATAAAATTAGAAGTTTTGGAGTTTTTGACTCAGATGGTAAATTTGAGGTAAGGAAAACTAGTTTTATTATTTGTAGTATCCTATATTAAAAAATATGGATATGATAAGGTGATTTAGTTATAATGATTTAAAATAGATGTTTTGAATGAGCTGAAAAATCAAATTATCACTCACTTTAAAATTTTACATAATTGTTTCATTATGGTGAAACTTGAGAGGTTTGATAGCTAGAGGATATGTTATTCACTAAGTGAAATTTATTTTAGGAAAATTCAAGAGGTTTGACCATTGGGTGACTAAAAGGTCACCAAACAAGGGTTATCTGTTGAGCGAGTAGAACTTGGGACTGAGTGAATTTAGCATGTGCCTAATTCATTTAGTGAACAACTTTGTGACTAAATAAAAGGATTATTTTCTTGCTTTTAATATGTTTTTAAATGATTTTTAATGCTAAAATAATTTATATTTAACTTAATTATTAATTATTGTTGTTTGATAAATGGTGAATAAATTTTTTAGTATTTTATGTAATTATGATGATGTGTTATAATACGACAAGTTTTAAGGAGGTATTCCTATGTGTTGATTGATGAGATATTCGAAATTACTGGAATTACATAATTAAGTAATGAGAATTGAAGAAAATTTTTATGACTTAGCTTATGGTGTAAAAATGAACTATGTCTTAACAAGTCATCGAAATTTATCCTAATCACACAAGCATCTCGTATACCATTATGTGTACCTACTCTATTCAATATTTAGTATTTTGAAAGTTTTCAAGTTTGATTATCCCCTTTATTTATCTTGAAGTCTCCCCTCTCTTTATATTATATTTTTTAGAAGTTTATTAATTTTTTAAGAGAATTGTCATTGACAAGATTCGAACTCGAGTACCTTAGAGTTGGAGGCCGATACTCCAACCACTAAACTACTAAAATTTTCCGATAATAACTTACAAATAAATTATATTTATATACAAATAAATATATATCCGTGTAAATATATAAATATATAAATACAAATATATTTATATATTTTGATATATTTATATAGTTATATATTTATATGTTGGATGTGAGGGCACACTCGAAAATGAAAGTGTGTGTCGAGTGAATTTTTAAAATTTGATGCTAAATTTGTGAGCGAGATATCTTTATATGAGTTTTATAATTTAATGACAGAATATAATCTTTAAAATTTTATTTATATAATGATATAAAATAAATTTGGGAAACGCGTCATTCGCTCTCAAGCGAAAAATACCAATTTTCGCTCAAGCGAGGCTTGACTGAGTGAATTTCAGTGAGCTTTAACATATTTTCACTCAAGCGAGAGTCAATCCCACTTTCACCCTCGATCAAAAAATACCAATATAATTTATTTGTAAATTATTATCAAAAAATTATAGTAGTTTAGTGGTTGGGATATGAACTTTCAACTCTAAAATATTGGGTTCAAATGTCTGTCGGTGACAATTCATTAACTTAAGTGAATTTTTGGTGAAAAAAAAAATAAAAATACTTTCTAGAAAATATATACAAATAAATATATATTTACATGGATATATATTTATTTGTATATAAATATAATTTATTTGTAAGTTATTATCGAGAAAATTATAATAGTTTAGTGGTTAGAGTATTAGTTTTCAATTCTAAAATCCTGAGTTCAAATTCTGCCAGTGACAATTTTCAAATTTAAGTGAATTTTTGGATGAAAAAAAAAGACTTTCCACGTCGGTTCATATGGGAACCGACGTGGAAAGTGTCAATAAGTGAAAAAAAAAGACTTTCAACGTCGGTTCATATGAGAACTGACGTAAAAATTACTTTCTACGTCGGTTGACTAAAAACCGACGTAGAATGTGTTTAATATTCAACTTTCAACGTCGGTTTATCTGGGAACCGACGTGAAAAGTACTTTCTACCTCGTCTCAGCTATAACCGACGTTAAATGACGACGTATAAAGTATATTTTGTAGTAGTGTTATCTTGTATGTTCTTGTGATGTTATTTAATTATGATGATTATGTCTTTACACAATAACCAATGATGCATATGGTAAACCTTCCTAATAAATAGGATGTCATTTCTCCCATATTCACACACCTTCTCACACTCTCTCATTGATGAGTCATTATATTCCCATATTTTCTTACCTTTCTATACTTATTTTAATTAATGTTTTGGGCTTAACTTTCTGTTATTAGTGAATTTTTATTAATTGGGCTTCATTGGATCAATAATTCAAATTTTAATTAATTTTGATCTATTTGATCTAATTTTTGCTCATTATTATTTTCAGAACAGTTTAAAGTAATTTTAGGCTTGGAAGATTGGACCAGATGTCATGCCAACTGTCCATTATAATCAGTTTTTTTGTTTTTATATTTTTATGATGTGTTTTGTGGGCTAGTTGGACCCAAACCTAGATTAAAATTAGGGTTAGGGTTATCTATATAAAAGACACCAAGGAAAAACGCGCAACCGACCTTTTCCCAGTGAGAAAGACATATCTGGAGCTACGATACTCCAAATTGGGCGATTCAAAGTGCGTTTTAAAGCTAAGAGGCAAGAATACAATTGTCTCTCTCATGAGCATTGTTAAATTCTAATTGAAAGGTGGTCAAAATTGAAGTCGAAAATTCACTACGGAATTTGCCCTGCATATGTCTTTTCTTCTGCGTTTTTGATTTTCCATGGATAGCTAAATCTTTATATTGATTTTCTGAGGAGAATGCAGTATATCTTTGAGGTTTTGTTGTTCTATTTTATTTGTTCTCTTAACTCTTCATCTCTTAATCTCAGTGTTGAATTATAATATGTTTATGCTTAATAAATCGACACTAATATCACAGTTTGCTTAATTCTGTGTTAGAGAAGAGCTTATGTGATATATGCAATGCTTAATTGTATAAGGATAATTTGGGGTTAATCTTCGCTTAGTTGATTAATTTCATATTGGAATAAGGGTTAAAGCTAATTTGGGATTAATCTTCGCTTAATAGATTAATTTCAAATTGGAATATAATTTGGGATTTATCTTCGCTTAGTTGGTTAATTTCGAATTAATTTCATAACCTAGGATAAGTGATACTGCATTGAAATAAGGAAATCAATTGCATTCTAATCTGTTTTTAATCCGCATTTTTATAATCTGTTTTTGTTCTGGTTCATCTAATATTTTAAATATGAAAAATCCCCCTTTTATTTCTGATTTAATTCGAAAAATTGATAAGCTTTGATAGAAATTCGTGGTCTTTGGGAGACGACCTAGGAAAGCTTCCTAGTACTACATTTATCTGTTTTAATTATTTGACTGAGTACGACATCGATCACTCATATTTTGAGACACTTCTGGGCATTATTGCATTGTTCCAGAGGTCCGAGTAGTCTTTCTGATTTGGGCAAAATCGGTTAAGGAAGTCTCCTTTTGAGACATCTAGCTCTCGGGAGTTTAAGAATTTTATTGTTCGAGGGAGGAGCGTTCTTGTAGAGTGAGGGGACTGCCAACAAGCATCCTTAAGTTTAAAGATTTATAAAAAGCTCGCTTCAGAGGTTCTTTTCAATTCCTTCTCTTTTATTGCTTTCCTTTTATCGCTTTCCTCTGTGTGCATTAGAGATTATGGCCATGTAGATATTTATTTAAATACTGCAAGTAAATAAATAGGATAAAAACATAATTTCTATATCTTTATTTTTAGAATTAATCCATCATAGGGAACCCGAAAGGGACGTTCTGGGGTGCTAATACCTTCCCCACACGTAATTAACTCCCTTACCCAACTCTGGTTATAATGACCAAAGTTGGTTTTTTCTAAACCAATGCCTTATGTTTTTCCTTTTTCAATGTTTACGGTTAAAACATTGGTGACGACTCCTTAAGAACCCCTTTTTACGAAAACCTCACTTTTAAGGG